CGGCGTCTGCGCACTACTTGTTGCAATTGATGTGGGCGTAACGTTTTTAACGTGATTGTTGTTGTTCAACTGCGTGTTGTTGTTGTTGTTATTATAAGTACTATTATTGTTGTTGTTGTTGATGTTGTTGTTGATGTGCGTGGGCGTATGGGCACCTATGCCCGGATGCGGCGGACTAGCAAAATCGTATTTCTCGTCAAAGGTAATGCCCGCCTTTTGGGCCAACGTCTCCAGGCACTTCAAGGGCCGCTCAACGCTGACAATATGTTGTTGCTGCTGCTGCTGCTGCTGCTGTTGTTGCTGTTGCTGCTGCTGCTGCTGCTGTTGTTGCTGCTTGTGTTGCTGTTGTAGCTGCTGCGTTGCTGTTTGCAACTTGTCGCTGCTGCTGCTGCTGCTGCCTCGTATATTCGAGTTGTCTTTTAATGGAAGCGCAGTTGTTGTTGTTGTCGTTGTTGCTGTTGTTAAAATTGCTGTTGTTGCTGTTGCTGTTGCTGCTGCTGCTAATGTTGTTGCTGCTGATGTTGCTGTTAATGTGTTTGCTGTTGTTGTTGTTGTTGTTGTTGTTGTATCGCTTTCAGTGTCCGCTCTGCATCGGAAAGAGAAATTGGGCAAATTAATTAGTAAAAACAAAACAAGAGGCGCACAACGCACACACGCACACACACACACACACACACACACACACACACACACACACACACTTGGAACGTTTGCGACGGCGTGCGGCATGCAACATTTTAGCCAAACATTTGCACAGCGAAACGAACAAAAATAATAATAATAATAAATTAAAACACGCAAAGCAACGAGCAAAGGCAATGCGAAATCCACAAACAGGTTGGCAGCACCCGCCATTTGCATGCAAACGACCAGAAAGAAATGCATAAAAAAATAGCGTGGGCGATGGATGCTCTCTCTCGCTCGCTCTCTCTCTCTCACACACACGCGCTCTTGCAGCGAACTAAAAGAAACAAAAAAGCTCAGCACAGAGCGAACTCTCAGCGAGAGTCAAATGCAAAGATCATTCACAATCTCACGTGCAAGTGTTAACATGTGAAAGAAAAAATCGTACAAGCTTTTGCTAAATTTTCAACTTGTCTAAACGAACATTTTTAAACAGTTTTTAATTTATTTATTAAATACCATGATACGTCATGTCATATAATTTTGTAATAAATGTACAAAAAAAAAAAAACAACTTAAACTTAGATTATAGTTGGAATATCAAAGTAAATATCTAATAAAAGTTTCAAGATTTTTAACAACTTCAATTATAAGTTTTCCTTTTTTTTTTCAACCATTTTTAATAACGAAAACAGTTCCGACAAACATATGTTGTATTCAAGCCGCCTGGTATTAAATTTCAATCAATAAACGTCCTTTTCTGCAAGCAGCTTTCAACACGAACCCCGCTTTGATAGACCTTAACTTCGATCTGGTGCCTTATTATGCAGCATGTGAAGTTTTTTTGGGGTCGTTAAAGCTGCTATCATTGACCCAAATAACCGTAAATGTGGCTCAATGTGGCTCACACACACGAGTGCGAGGTAACTAATGCTAACGAAGGAGGTCATTTAAAAATGATGTGGAGGCTGCATTTAAAAGTCCCGGACAATACACATACACATATGCATGTAAATGCACTCGTACACATACATACATATATATCTTCCTTTTTTCGCGTGTGTGTGTGTGTGTGTGTGTGTGCATGTGCTTCTCTATTGACGTCAATTGTAAACTGTAAACATTTAGAAGGAGTTGCTGGCGAGTGAGAGATGCAGTTAGACGAGCTGCGTGGGAGAGGCGTACAGCTGAACGAGCTTACCGGGAGAGAGTGAGGGCAAGAGAGAGTGAGAGAGTTACATTGTGCAGTTAGCGTTGTTTAGGACTCATGCAGCTCAATATATTGTATGTATGCAAGTTAACAACAAAGTGCATGAATGCATATGTGTCAGTGTGAAAATTGGCAACATAGCAGCCAGTTAGACTAACGGTCGGGCGATGCAACGAAACTAAAAGACAACTCTCTTCAGCCGCAGCGAAATTGCTTTTATGCAGTCATTTAACGTAAAAACAATATAGAAATAAGCAAAAGTGCAAGTAAATTCTTAGTGTGCAAATCAAAGCAGCTAAAACAAAAGGTTATTAACTAACTTCATGCGACGTTGCCAAACTTCAGTACAGAGAACCGAAAATAACTGTAAAAAACTGTCATAAACAAAAAAAAAAAAAAAACAGGCGAGACATAAAAACCAGCCAAGTTTAGTTTTAAATTTCACAAGTTAACCACACCAAGACCAATTCCTGACGCTGCCACAGTCTCACAGTCCCAAATCCCCCACAGCCGCCTCCGTAATGCCCGTGAGGCGTATAAAACATGAAAAAAAAAAAAAAAAAGAGGAATAAACTACCAGCGAAACTGTGCAGAGGTTATTAGAGCCGGCGCAGCATTAGGGTTACCCCTGGCAACAGGACCGACTGCACAAGCAAGGAAGGAGGGAGGGGCGAAGTGGTTGAATGGTGGAGGGGAAGGTGGGCGGTTTTGGCAAGCCATGAAATCGGTCAGGGGTGTTTCATGCATGCGTCAGGGTTGCTGCTGGGTATGCTAAGGTCGCACGCCCCCACCGAAGCGCACCGCAAACGGCAAAGAGTAAGCGAAAGCTGGTGGAACGGAATAAATAAGAAGGAAAAAAAAAAAAACAACCGACGACTAGACGCTGTGCCAGACGCAGCAGCAGCAGCAGCAGCATCCTTCTCATCGTCAGAAGAGCAACAGCAAAAAAAAAAAAAAAGAAAAAAACTTGCAGCTCAAGACTGGTTTGATGCTTGATTTCGTGTGTGTGTGTGTGTGTGTGTGTGTGCCTGTGTATGGGAGAGGAAGAAAGAGTGAGTGCCTGAATCGTTGAGTGGTTTTGCCAGCTCGCTGCTGAGAGAGCCTGTGGGGAGCGTCCGTCAGTGCCATTAACAACCCAACAATAACAAAAGCAGTAATAATAATGCCGCACAGCCATCATCAATTTTATGTTCGCTTCTAACCAAATTGAGTTGCACGAAGATTGATAACAATGCCGACGACGCAAACAGAACGAGCATGCGCTCAAATGAGCTAGCCAAAGAAAGGAAACAAAAAAAAGAAAAAAAAAAAAACGGATTAAAATGTGAGTGGGTAAGAGAGAGACAGAGCTAGGGAGAGCGCGCGCAGCTAGCATGCAGGTGAGAGCGACAAAAGCAACAACAGCAACAAAATAGAACATAAAATTCAAATTCTTGCGAGGAACATGCGTGCAAAATTACGTTTGGTGGTTGTTGGGGCATTCAACCTGTAGACGCGGTAGACGGTGGCGGGGACGAGACGAAAATAGATGACTACATATTGATTATACGAACGGGTTTCATTTCTGCATGCCAGGCCGCAGCTACCAACAGCAAACACACACACACACACATTGAACTACAAATGCGAATATACAGATACAATTGAGTGCACGGTAATGCTGTGTCCCTTGTTGCTGGTGTATGGCGAATGCGTAAGTGTGAGCGAGATGGCACTGGTGGCTTGTCAAATGACGAGCGTAGCTCAAAACACACACGAACACATGTGCCAAATGCATGAGAGAAAGAGCATAAGTTGGTGTTGGTGTCATTGTAGAGTTGCCAACACACAGCAAATTGAACGCACAATCGCATACATCAAATTATAAGCAAATAGTTATTTAAAAATGATGAGCTCAAAGGCATGCAAATATTTTGATCATAGCTAATTCAATTTCATAGAGAAGCAATATAAAATTGCAATAACTACTTTTGCACGATAATTACAAGGGCATCTAAACCCATATTTATATTCAATTAAGGTACATTGTTTATATTTAGTTGTGAAGACATTTTGGCCTGATGGCAACACTACAGCGCGCCTCAAATTTTGTTTACTTCGGACTATGGGAGGCTACGCGCGCGCGACAGAGAGAGCTAATGCGCTCCACGGACTGTTGTTGTGTTGGTGTTGCTGTTTCATGTTCTTCTACTTCTTCTTCTTCGTCGTCGTCGTCTTCTTTTGGTGCGGTGAGCGGGAGCTGCTTAATGCCGCCTGCAGTTTCGGTTTCGGCAAAAAAAATGTTACTTTTGGCTTAGAACTTTTGCTTTTCAATGCTGCGAAAAGTAAAAGAAAATCAACCACCAACAAATTTACAAACACACGAACACGCACACACACACGCACACATACGCGATGTGTATACATTGCGAAATTTGCTGTGCGTGTGTATGTATTTGTCTGAGCCTGCGACTGCAGTGTTTTATCAACACTGCAAGAGCTGAGCAGATGGGGCAACAAAAAACTCGTTTTTGGATTTTTGCTTGTTTAAACTAAACGAGAGCGTTTCAAGTACAAGTATGATTATGATGGGACGTCAAACAGAAACGGCACGCAAATATATATATACACACACACAAACACGCAAATGCATTTGTTTGAATTTGTACACATTTGTCATTGTTGCAGCAGTGTTGTAAAACGCTGCTCAGTTGAACTGCGCGCCAAAGGCAACGCTGCAATTATGAACATCTATTAAAAAAGAAAAATGGGAAAATATACAAATATCTAGAGAAATAGTCACAACAAAAACAATGTGGTATATAAAACGAAATGAAAACAAAATCAGTGTGTGCACAGCATAAGAATATTTCTTGCGCTGCGAGGGTCACACTTGAAGCGAACCTGAGACGCGGTTACGATGTAATAATAACAAATATAGAAGTAGAAGCGCAAAGTGAGAGACACACAGAGAGAGAGAGAGAGCAAGAAGTTAGTGTGCGTGTGTGACAGTGGCAGAAAAAAAAAAAAAAAGAGAAGAAATAACATTAGTAATAATAAACGCGAGTGCATTGACACACATATACACATACACATGCGTATGTATATGTTGTATGCTGTTGTTAACAGTGGCTTCGGTCAGTTTGCAAATGAAATGTTATATTTTAAAAACTAAAAGATAACGAAAGAAAACAAACAAAAACCAAAAAACACAAAATACCTTTTTTGCATAAACTTCAATGCACGACGATCCATTATTCAAAATAAAAACAATTTGTATAATAAATTAATAGTATGCATGCGGCGACGTCAGCGGCGGCGACGGCAGCAGCGACGACGACGGCAACGGCAGCGATGTTCTGTTGTTTGCTGTTACTGCGACTGCGACTGCGACGGCGACGGCGACTGCGGCTGCTCTGCGACTGCTGATTGTTTTTATTGTTGTTGGCAGCATATTGCTGCTGCTGCTGCTGCGTTTTTTTTGTTTTCTGTTATTTTGTTGGTTTTTTCTTTTATTTTGTTGTTGTTTAAATACGAGGTAAGAACACACACACAAACGTATACGAGACAGGCAATAAACATATACATTTACATTTATATATATATATATAAACAGGCAAAAAACGTAAACGTAAAACTTTGTTGCAAACAACAACAATATGAAAACATACAAAAATGTACACAAAAAAATGTCTCGCCGAGCGTCAGTCTCAGTGTCAGTGTCGCTGTGTGCGTGCGTGTACGTGTACGTGTGATTATGTGTGTGTACATATATATGTATATATACAGCTATTGTATGTCTGTGTGCGTACGCTGGCTGTCTGAGACTGCGACTGCGACTGAGGCGTGTAAATGAGCGTTTCGTGCACGAGAGCAATAATTAGTACATACTCCACTCGCTGCAGCGGCTGCGTCGACGATGGCTCACAATAAATGCAGTGCCTGCTTTATTTCACTTTGAAATCATTTTTGTTTTCTTTAATTTTTTTAAATTTTCAGCTGTATTTGAATGCTGCATTGGCCAAGCACCTGTACACGTGATGAGCGTGGGCGCTTAAGGGGCGTGTAGGTGCTGTGCGGGGGGATGGGCGGCGGCGGTAGATTGGCGGGGTTTTTAAGCGTTGCCTCTGCTTTCGGCTTACATAAAACGCGGCGACAACTCTAGCAACATAATTTTTGTTAGGCGGCACACAAATTCACTGCGCGCGTCGGCAGCGACTGCGACTGCGACGGCAGCAGCATAACTTTTCACTTTGCAGCATGTATCTTGTATATTTTTTGGATTTGTTTGTTGTTTGTTTAGCGAGCAAACTTTGAACACAAAAAAATATTTAAAAATCCAGCTATTAATTTGTCGATTTGTCTTTAATCATACATGCGTGCATGTGTGTATATGTAGCGCGTCGCGTTGTATCTTGTATCTCGACTGGCGTTTGGGCAGATCAGCGCAAGCGAGCGAACGTTTTTGAGGTCGACAATACACAAACCGTACGCTCCCAAGTTGAAATACAGACTGAAGCGCGCGCAGGCGGCGGCAATTCTGTCGAAACAAAATGAAGCAGCAGCGCGCATGTGTATTGGTGAATGTGTGTGTGTGTGTGCGTGTGTGTTAGTCTTAGGAGGGTTGGCAGGCAGCTTAATGAGGAAAACGAGTTTCCTCACATACACACACACACACACATCATAACATTTCTCTATAACAAATGCGGGCGTGCGAGTGCAATGCCAATAGCCAGTCACATGCCATATGACCGTCGAGTGCGAGTGCAACAGCAATAGCCCGACTACTCGCTGTTCGTAGCGTTTTGTTGTGTGCGCTTTGGGGGTGTGTGCGAACGAAAGAAAAAATGTACGTGAACAAAAAAAGAAGCAAAAAAAAAAGCGAGGCTACACAGCTGGCGGGCATGTGTATTGTATTTGCTTTTGCTTTCGCGCCCGTTGTGCCGCATTCATCCATGCATACATGTGTATGTTCATATATATATATGTGTGTGTGTGTGTGTGTGTGTGTGTGTGTGTGTGTGTGTGTGTGTGTGTGTGTGTGTTGAGTACTTGTGTGCGTGTGTATGCGCGCTGTCAACCACCCTGCCCGCTGCCTTAGCACTGCCGCCCTCGTCGTTGAACGTAATACCAGTTTTCTGTGTCTGTATACTTGAATGTCGCCTCGTCGTGGTTGTGGTTTTTGTTGCTGTTGCCGTTGCCGTTGTTGCTACTGCTGCTGGCTTGCTTGCTATACTTCATCTTCTTTTTTCGATTTCGCATTTGCCACCACCACCACCATCGCATACACTCACACATACACACATACACGCATACATACATACCTGAGCTGACTAGCAAACGACAGCGGCTTTATTTTATTATTAGTTTTGCTTGTCGGCCTCAGCCGGGACCGTTGTTGGCAACGGGATGGTGGGGTTGCGCGGGTATAGAGGCAAAGAGGCAATCGTTCGCTTTCGCTTGCTCGCTCGGTCGTACAGTGGTCTGCGTTGCAATACGATTATTTGAATTGCATTTTTTTTCCGTTTCATTTTACCATGCTGTTGTTGTTGTTGTTGTTTCTGCTGCTTTTGTCGTTTCGACATTTTCATTTGTAATGCTACGCGTTTTGCTTGGATATGATTGTGACTGATGGCACCCGTTGATTTAGCACTTTTGCGATTTTTTTTTTTTTGTTGAATTTACCATGGTTTTGTGTTGTTGTTGATATTCACGCAACGTTTGCACAGTGGTGAGCAGTTTTTGCCGCATGCACAAATGTACATCTAGATGTAACATACAGAAACAGAAAGAAAAAAATAACTAAAAAATATTATTGCCACTTGTTGAGCATATTATAAAAATTGTATACATAATTACTATCATTATTATTATTCGAGGAAACTAACGTGTTTTGTCATGCACTCCCAAAAATAACAACTTTTGTTTTAAGTTAGTTTGAATGTAGTGTTAATAAATTTAATTTTCTTCAAAAAACATTTCAATTACATTTTTCTATCAGTATTTTTATACTGGCATTTATTTATATCTAATAAAAATAAATAAATACATATTCATATAAAAGCCCCACCGTATACTTAATAAATTGCAAACACACAAATATATCAGTCTTGCACCAGTGTGCCTTGGCCGACGCGCTAGCATTCCATTTTTCATTTTGTTGTTTGACTGTGTGTGCTGCCCCGTATAACTGTTTGTATCTGTGTACGCCGCTTTGGGCTGTTCTTGTAGTCGACGTTCACAAATGTTCATCGATATATATGTATGCTTGTGTGTTCGACGCCCGTTGCTGTTGTTTTTGCTTTTGGGCCACTGCTGGCAATGACAGGCAACGTTGATGTTGTTGATGTGAGGTTCGTTGCTTGAAACGAACGATGGCACGAAACATTTTGGTGTTTCGTTCGTTTGCTTCGTTTTTGTTGCTGCTGCTGCCGCCATATTATTTTTACGCTTGTTAAGTGTTTTTGCCTGCTGTTTCTCTCTTCTCTATTATGCCTTTTATTTGGTTTTTGATTGTGGCCCGTTTATTCGTATGTGTGTGTGTGTGTGTGCGTGCGCGCTGATCCGGCTTCATCTTTGGCTTTTGTGTGTATTGGATTTTTTTATGGTTGGACCTTTTTGTATTTTGTTGTTGTTGTTGTTGTCGTCGTATTTTTGTACGTAGTTTTTTCTTATTAGCGCGCCTCTTCTTATATCTTATTCAACTGTACAAAAAGCCATGCGGAGCATGCGCTCTTTTTTTTTTTTTTTTTTTTTGAAAACGTTTCGAATTATGAACTCAAACTTGTTGGGTCTGACTGTAGTTGGTGTTGCTATTGTTGTTGGCGCTGGTTGGGGGGTCGTTGTCGTTGTCGTTGGCGCCGCAGTGTGAGCGAGCGCACGAGTGTGTGTCCAACGTGTTAGCGTGACCGTGCGTCTGTGTTAGTGGCTTTATGTGTGTGTGTGTGTGCGTGTGTGTGCTGTGCGCTTTTGTACATTTTGTACAAAAATGACAAATGTATAATCAGCGTAAATTGCTTTGCGCGTGCTTTTTTCCACTGGATTCAATTTAGTTTATTGCGCTCTCGCTCTCTCTCTCACGCCGGCTCACTTGCCCTCATTAGCGTAGAGCGCGCGCGCGTGTATGTGTGTGTTGTAATTGCCTCACACTCATACACATTAGCGCTGGCATTGTTATCGTTAGAATTTCCTTCACCATTTTTGAAAAAAAAAAAAACCTCAGAATTATCAAGATCTGCATACATACAAACACATAGCCATACAGACAAAGCACAGCCTGACTGGGGTGCCATTTGGGGCGTATGAGATTGCTTTGCGCACGTCTATATATGTGTGCGTGTGTGTGTGTGTCGATTCAACTATCAAAATGGGTTGCTGATTGTTGCTGCTCCGCTTTGTTTTTGCCCTTCCGCTCTTAGGCGTGGTCAGATCAACGTCAACCGTTGCGTTAGCTCGCAAAGTTGCCGAACTGGACGAAACTTTGATCTACATATGCATACACATAAATCCGCTAGCCTACTCTGCTACTCTCTCAGCACTCAATAGACTCTAGAAACTCTCGCAATGCGCGAATTCATGTGCATGTGTGTGATTTTCTTGTACACGCTGCCGCATTTGCTGCCGCCTATTAACCTCTCGTATTTCAACCAACACACACATACAATAACCAACCGATCGACTCACCCTTGGCAGCACACAGAAGTGTCCTCTCAGCTCCTGTGTGGCGCACACACGCAGTCGTTGCGGCCGCACTCACGCACAGTGCACGCCCAGGTTCAATGCTGTTCGAGTTTTGGCTTCGTTGAATTCAGCTTCGGTCAGGGTGACCGTTGTATGCGCTTCATTGAACGTTTTGTTTTTTCTTACTGTTTTGTTAACCTAAAAGTTGTAACAGGGAGAAAGCAAGGCCTAATGCTACAGTGTGAACTATAGAGCTGAACCTAGACTTCATATGCACTACACACTCTATTTCCAAGTATTCAAATGCACTTAAATTAGACATATCTGCACTATAAGCCAAAGGACAAACTCAATCCCTAAAGCTGTTTCGTATATAGCTGTGATACACTGAAGAAATGATGAAAAGCTTACAAAATTTAGTTTAATATTAATTGAAACTGTTTTAAACAAGAAAATCCTAAAGAATGAAAACCCAATACATGTTTTTGGACTTTAGTTCGCCCGTTCTGGCCATAATATTTCGACAACCCCTGTCATAGAAGTTTGTTGCCGCCGACCCTCTTGAGAATTCATGAAAACCCATCCAACATGCACGAACTGTACCGTTGCTCGAATGCGCTGCAGCCGTAGTTGGGCCGTAGGGTGGTTCGACTTGGACACTTTTCGAGAAAGGGTTGAACTTTGACACTTGCCTGGGGTATGCCTTATGAAGCGTCTGCGGCGAGCTCGACCCTCTGCACAACACACACCCTTCTTGCCAGCGCCTTTTTTTTTCTTTCTCCATTTTACGCACTGCTCCGAACGCGTTTCCAAAGCAAATACTCAACAATTACCCCCAAAATTGCAACTATTAAGTGGAATGTGCAAATGCAACCCCTAAGCGTGTTAAGGGCTGTTTCGTGTATCTGCCGCTGCCGCATGCCGCCTGTCCAGGCCATAGAAAATATGTTGAGCCTGGACCGGAACTAACCCGAACCGACAACGATCTTGACTGTGGCATAAGGACTTAAGGCTGGGGTGGTTGGCAAGCAAAGGCAACCCCAAAGATCTTCGAGTGGTTCTACACAGAGGACAGCGATTTATCTTAGGAGTATTCGATATTCAATTATCAATCAAAATGAATACTTATTAAGACAAGCAGTATCAAAATGAATACATTTCAAGCGAAATCATAAAGCAATACTAGATATACTCAAAAAGCCAGCGAGTAGAGTTATGTTGTGTCCAGATATCGAACCGAACCTGCTCGAACCTGCGCACTCGAACTGAACAAACCGAAGCAGAACTAACTATAAAACAATTCGTTGTTGCTTGTGGCTTCAAGCTATGACATATGGTAAGGCATGAAAATGTGTCTAAGACAAGGTACGAAACCTACTGAACCGGTTCAATGCTCGAACCAGCAATCAGTATTTGGGTCTGGTTGAAGCGGTTCACGGGTTAAGCCGGGCTTTGTTTATTTGAAACTAGCTCTACCCAGATCTTATTTCAAAACTTTTTTCATCTGTTTACAAAACTTGAAACTCTATGGGAGAGAAACCAAACCATCGAACCGGTTTGCGGTTCAAACCTGCGTGCAAGAAAAAGGTCTAGTTCATGAAATTCATGATTCATTTACTGAAAATATTGCAAAACGTATTTGACAACTTTTTTTTTGGAGCGGTTCGGTTTCGCAACTGACTCGGTTTAAGCTTGGGTACGTAGTGAAAAGTACTTTTAGAAATCCGGGCTTAGTTCAAGTCCGTAGCTCAGATTTGTTTGTCCAAAAACGGAACTGTCGAGCAAGGAACTTAGTTTCTCTAAGCTGAATAGAATAAATGATGAATTTGAATATTATTAGAATAAGTCTTAAAGCAAATTAAATTTATATTAAGTACAAGAAATGTGGTTTGAACCAGAAACTGGTTTCGAGTCTTCAAATCTATTCAAACAAATCTTCAAATTCAGCACGCAATAGATTCTTTATGAATCCTTTGTATATATTGTTTCTTCCAATATTTAAATCAAATTTGTTTTAAAGAAAATTATCCGACATTTGCTGAATCTACAAAAAAATATTGTTAATTAGGCACGTTTTATGTATTTTTGAGTATTTTTTGTGTTTTAAGTAAAAAAAAGCTAATAAATTTGCATTCCTAATCGAAAATTGATTAAAGAAAGAATTTAAAATGAATTTTTAATGTATTTGAAATGTTCGTAAATTTATAAATCTAACTAATTTATATGCAACTTGTAAGCTCAAATATTTAACTTAAAGAAAGTTAGTTTTTGAATTTTCGAAAAGATTTTCCACAGCTTTAAAAATTGTTGAAAAACGATTTTAAGCAGATTATTTTCAACAATATTAAAATTCTCCAACAAATTGCTCAAAAATTACTTTCGATTCTGGATTCGTTTTGTAGAAATACCAAAGCAGCCTATAAGCATATATATATATATATATATTCTCAATCCATATCCAACCAGTATTTGAGTTACCTGAGTGTTTTTTCCACAAATCTTGAACAAAGTCGACTATCGCCAGCTTAACTGTCATATTTAACTGTCATATTCATATACTGCCAAGTCCTAGCGGATCTGAGTAACATAATTTATGGATTCTACAAAAATGATAAAAAAAAAAACGTTCAATTCAATTTCTTTCACACAGAAAGGGTATTTCAAGTGCGATTCGGCTGAAAAGTTCTAAAGCATCGATAATAATATATAACCTAAATCCATCAAGTTCTTTGCGAATTAAAAAAAAAAAAAGTCAACAATTTGAGCATTTTTTTTGGAAGTTTTTTATGGAGAGTCAAAAGATTTTCCTTCGGTCTTGAAGTCTATGCTAACTTCTCTCTCTCTCTCTCTCTCTCTCGCAGAAACGGTTTATATATGTATATATGTATATATGTATATATGTATATATGTATATATGTATATATGTATATATGTATATATGTATATATGTATATATGTATATATGTATATATGTATATATGTATATATGTATATATGTATATATGTATATATATATATCGTCCTAGCCAGATACATCTGTCTATATGTATGTCTGTTCCTAAACAAACTCGAAACAATTTTATCAAAACTTGGAAAAAAGTCCGAATCGAAAGAGTTTTGACACAGCTAAAAGTTCATGTTTTCCAGTTTAATATCAAAATTAATTATTTCTTTTATTAATATCGTTTTCTTTTCTTAACTTTAACTATGTATTTTATATATTTTATATCGATTTATTTTCTTAGAGCTAGTTAAAAAATAAATATCTAATAAGAAATTCTTCGACTCCCGACTAGGAGCTACCCTGGACCCTCTTCTTGCAACACCAAATGCAAATATATCTATTATTCTAGAAGTTAAATGTCAAATTTGGTGGCTCTAGCTCTTAATATAAACGAAAAATTGCTAAAAAAAAAACATGATATCGATATCGATTTTTATCGATTACTTGGAAACGGAGCAAGTTATCGATTATCGGAAAGCAAACTCAAGCTGCGCAGGCACTAGAAGATCCTACAGCTAAAGCTCTTATAGGTTCTGAGATCCTTCATATATACGGACGGGCAGACAGACGGACGGACAGACAGACAGACGGACGTGGCTAGATCGACTCGGCTTTTGATGCTGATCAAGAATATATATACTTTATGGGATGGAAGAAGCTTCCTTCTGCCTGTTCAATCAATTTGCATTTTTCCCATTTTAGCCCATTTTGAATTGGATCAGGGTATAAAAATATATATCGAGATCGAATGCTGCAGAACATTTCATTTATTCAGATCCAGATATTTAAACTGGCTTTGGAAATCATTTTGCTGTTTTATCTTATGAAATTGTTCCTAAAACTGGGAATATACAAAGACCTTATCAAATTCACAATAGATATCATTCTATGGAGTATTGTATTGGAGTATTTGTCACATAATTGACCGGGTTTGAACTCGCAGCCAATTTTTTTTTTTGTTTGTTTCACATGCGTCGAACCAGTTCAACAAAAGCAAACGTATTTCTGCAAATAAATAACTCGGCTTAAGAGATTCTTTTTCTTTTTTTTCTTACATTTCTTCATATGTGCGAAATGTACATTTGCACATTTTCATACAAACATATGTATGCAAGTATGTAAATTTTCTGCATGTATGTGATGTTATGTATGTATGAGAATGCATATGTATGTATGTACATGTACATGCAAGAATGTGCGTAAATACATGCACATATGCGTACATAGAAGTGTATGTAATTAATGTACATATGTACATCATATACATTTTTGTATTACAATAACAATTTTCTTTATAGGTTTACAGTCTTGAGGGCGAAAGTAGTTTGAAATGTTTGAATAGAATTAAAATCAACGCTGAATGAATAAATTCGGATTGCATAGACATCGAATTTCGTTAAGTGTCAAGCAAAAACTTTTCAATTTCAATTTTGTTCAAATCGACAATATAAAATTTTCCAAATAAATTTCGATACTACTTGAGCAAGATATTGGCACCCAGTTACATATGGAGCACTCTCTATCTTATACCTATTCTCTATCATCTATAAACTGCGCATTGTTATGCGGTATTCAATTCGCGCCGCAATTGTTACAGTGCATATTGGCATATTGCGTTTGGTTGGCCGATGGAGGCAACAACGGTTATAAAATAGAAACGTGCCGCCATTTTGATTTAACTGTCGCTGTCTAATTGCAGTTGGTATCGCGGCTGCGTCCAATACAAAATGCCGACGGCGAAAAATGGGCGCGCTGCTCGCCGGTTTTGGGGTGGGTGTCAACCGCAGCCAGCACGCTCTTGCGCAAGCGAAACAACAACAAGCACAAGCAACGCTGCGCAACGTGCGCAAGCGAGACAGCCATACACATGCCATGTTGGTGGTGGTGGTGTGCTGCCAACCGATGGGCGGTTCCGTGGTGAGTTCAGGCTCAATATGGTGAATCCAACTGTTATACAGTTGAATTCGATCTGTGATTCGTTTGTTAATTGTTTTTTTTTTATTTCACTCTTTTTAAACAGCAAAATCTCTCAGCAAAAACATTTAACAATGTTTAGCATATTTAATGCTTATAAAGTCACATAAGAACGTTAAGTTTTTTTGTATTAAAGTTTGTCAGTTAAGCCAAAAACAAGTTAATCTTTGAATGAATTAATGTTGCCTCAGGTTTTGAGAATTCAAATCCCAAGCATTTTTATTGTATTAAAAGAAATATCAATAAAGTCGTTTGAACAGAAATAAATATAATTTTATAGTAAAAACTTTGTCAATCTTGAAATGAATTATGAAATGAAATATATGAATAACATAAAATAGATTTCGATTAAATATGAATTTAACTATATTCCATATTTCCATGGGTTTTTTTTCTTTCTTTTCACTCCCCCTTTCTTAATCATATTATATTTCCAAATTTAGAGTAAAGTCCACATAGCAGAAGAAGATGTGTATATATATATGTTTATGTGCTGCATCTGAAGCTACAAACTAAAATGGGGGGTCCTTAAGGTCTTTGAGATGTGAGAAAAATCTTGTTATAAGATCGATAATTATCGATATTATGACAAATGAGAGCTTTATTGCCAAGTTAGCTGAGCTTATGTAAAAAGAGCGCTTGAGCAAAAGTATGTGTAAATATTTGATATAATTGACATTAATAATATGATTTAAATATTAATCATTTCATTCATTGAATTTCAGATCTTAAGCTTTTGTACGGCCGGCCACATGTTGCTAGCCGAAAAGAGACGCAAAGCTCAGCAACAGCTGATCGGAGCGAAGAAAGCTTTTGTGTGTGCGTGTGTGTGTGTGTGTATGTGTTTTTTGCATTGCTCAGCTGACGCTTGGCAGCTTTTGCGCTCTTTTTCGTTGTGCTCCTATTTCAGCGTTTCGTTCGTTTTAGTTTTAGTTTTGTTTTGGTTGTGTTTACGATTTGCGCGAGACCAGCGACTCGACGAAACTGGACGAGTGCTCGACGCTGGCAGAATATTAGTGCAGGTGCAGTACATATACATAAAATACATATGTATGCATATACATATGCATGGAAAATAACTGCAAAAAATATGCATGGCATACATACATACATATATATGTGCATATATATATATGTATACAGATAGATGCCTGCCATATTGTTTCCTTTTATATTGCCAGAGCACTAAAAGCTGCGCGCTTTTTGCTCTGCTTCTTTGCGGTTATTTTCCATAACAGTACGAACTAAAGCTCATATCAAATGCAAATTGTTGGCGCGTGCGAAGAGCGTGTGCGTGTGTGTGTGTGTGTGAGCAGTCACTCGTTTGCTTAGCTGTGTATGTGCGAAGAGTGCGTGCAAGGCGCGTGTGCAACAGATGACGCCAATAAATGCCATCTCTAGCATGCGTGCATGTGTGTGTGTGTGCACATGTATGCAAAGCGAATTTAGGTATTTATAATAAAATACTGATTAAATAAACGTATTGAGATAACATCAAATATCAATAGCTGCCATATACACTCAATGCCACATGCAAGCTTTTGACGTAATCAAAGCACACTCACACACACACACACACACACACAGAGGGACAGGGCATATGAAAGACGACAAATGTAAACAAAAACAAACGTGGGCTGATAGCTTGTCAATAATCTGTGTGGCCGAACTATGCAAACACTCAAATGCCTAAAGCTCGCTGCAAAAAGCTTTTACGCAGCGCTATTAACTTCATACACGTATGACACACATCTGCGATCGACATGCATGCATGTCATGCATGTCTGTCATACATTCTATGTTGCAATACATTGCGATCCGCCTCCCAGTGTGACCGCCCGCTCTGTGACCGTTAAATTTAGAGGATTCGATGCCAAGGTTAATTCGAATATTCGAAAACTATCAATTTGTTAGATTGATGGGATTACAACTAAAAAGTGTTGCACAACATAAAGCGAAAAACCAATACATACAAATTCTGCGATTGAAAGTGTTGCAAAACAACAAAAAGCAAAAATAGGATTTCATTTATAAGCACGAATCGAACTCATATTTTTAAATTTGACTTAGAAACAAGTGTGGGAAAGCAAGCTTAATGGATTTACTTGGCATGACAGATCCGAAAGATCTGGTTGAGCTGGTTGATCCGGCATTTGGTAATAGTGAGTGAAGTTTTTGTTAGCCTTCCGCTCAATTCAGTTCTCGATCGGCAAACAAAAACCCACAGAGCCAGACCAGAACAATTGCAGAGGCAGGTAACTCGATGGGTCGTAAATGAGTTTATGATTATGCAGTTTTTCTACGCCGTTTTACCTTTATACCTGGAAATTTCGGACACACACACACACACATACGCACACATTGGCTTATGCATATTGACAAAGTAAACCCGGTCGCGGTCATAAAGATATTGACTTTAACAGCGCACTCTGCTCTTCGGCCCGGTTCCGTTTCATATGCGAGATCGTGGGACGAGCTGCTCTCATTGTTTACCGTTTGTCCACACGTTCCCAACCAAATACCGACTATGCTAATTCTTCTTCTTCTTCTTTTTATTTTCCCACTGATAGCGCAAAACAAAAACAAAAATCAATAAAAAGCTTACACCTTCATAACTCTATAGCCAAACTACATTCGCATCTAGCGTGGCTCGATCTGGCTCTATCTGAACGCAATCAATAAAGTGCGAACGCCGAAATTGGAGTACAACAGCTGAGAAAGTGCCTGAAAATATCAGATAAAATCAGGTAAAATCGATTTTAAGCAAAGCTGCAGCAGAGTGTGATACGCTAAAACTTTTCTGCTTACAAAATAGTATTTCTTTTCTCTAGATTTTGATTTCAAGAAAATTCCAATTTTTATTTCGAGCAGCTCCTTTAGAGATATCCGTATCCGATTTCATGGGAGTACTAAATCAGAGGTAGAGGAGGATAAAGTTCTAAGCTGTAGATCGATTCTATGTAAACTATATTATATAGTTCTGCGATTCAGTCGATTCCGGCAACAGAAAGTCGTAAAACAAAGAGACTGGTCACAGTCGACTCTTGTTGCTAATGAAGCGCTTATTATGGGTGCGAAAAAGTCGGGCTTAGTGGCATTATGATGCAGCAAAGCTCTTTGCTAACCATGGGAGACACAGGCAGTGAAACGTTTACGAAGCAGGTACACAAAAGGCAATCCAAAAAATTAAGGGATTGCGCGAGAGAGATGAGAATGGGCAAATATTGGGTTACACACAGTGAAACGTTTGCGAAGCAAGAACACAAAACAAGAAAAGAAAAGTTGTCAAGTTGCGGGCCACAATCCGTGAAACGTTTGCGAAGCAAGAACACAAAAGGCAGTCAAAAGTTGAATTTTTTTTTTAGTAGAGAGAGCGAGAAGTTATGTCAAATTGTGGTTAACAAATGGTGAAACGTTTACGAAGCAAGAACACAAAAGAAGAGAAGAAAAGCGTCAGGATTGATTAGATTTCGTGACATTTTGTTTTAAATATGCGAAATGGCTGATTGCATCTTTATAGAGGAGGACCTTCTGTGTTGAGCTGAGCCGAGAAATTTCTTAACCTTTGCCGCCCCGTTATTCTGCGGCAGCCACCATGCGCTTCCAGGGTCTCATGCAAATGCGCAGATATGCGACAGCCGCCACCCTCAGGCAACTCGCACACACACACGCGCGCGCACACACACGCACGCACACCACGCTGCGCACGCTGGCGAGCAGCGCATCGCCGCTGCCGGAACTGACACAGGTAAGAGAAACAAACAGAGAGCGAGAGCGAAAGCGAGAGAGAGAGAGACAGAGCACCAGAGTGAGAGAGAGTGAGGGCGGGAGGAAGGGAGGCAGCGAGAGTGTGAGTCTTGGCTCTGTGGTGAGTTGACTTTGTGGCCACCATGGCCCAATCGCCGCTTTGCAAATGGTGGTTGCAAAATTAACCGCTATGCACAGTTGTACAGTTGTACAGTTGCGCACATTGCGGTAAATGTAAAATGCTCTTAATTGAAGGCAAATAAACAAGAATGCTTTCTGAAAAGCTTAACAATCTGTTTCGAATTCGAATACTTTTCCAACAATATATTCGAACACTTTCCCATTTTAGACTCGAATCGAATCAAATCGAAAGCCAAAAACCACATTTCTCAAATCGAGAAACTGAAAGCCTGCCCCTGCTCCTCTCGCTTCTTTTATTTTCGAACATCATGCTAATATAAATACAAATTTGTATAATATAATTTTAAAATTTTTAAAAATATATATAATAAGGAAAGTTTACCAAATTATAGAAAATAATTTTCAAGCTATTTTCGACTTCTTATCGAAATATCGAAAACATGTTTGCAAAAAAAAACAAGTAAGAGGTTCTAGTCGGAAGCTCCCGACTAGGGTATATCCTGAACCCTCTTCTTCCAACATCAAAAGCATATATATATTCTATTTTAGAAGCTATATGTCAAGTTTGGTGACTCTTCCTTCTTCCTGTTACATACATTTGGATTTCGCACAAATACAATATACCCTTATACCCATTTTTAATGGGTTCCGGGTATAAAAAAATATTTGCCAGGAAATTGAGAAAAAGTTGTTTCTTTAGTGTCAATTTTTAGTAAATTCAATAAGAGCTCAGTTTTGATGCAGAGTGCCGAACCCCTTGGGCCTAAGTTTAGACTTAAGTGAAGTTCAATGCGATGCTTCGATTCATAAAAAGTTTACACAATTTTGCCAATTCAGATCTCGGATCATGTGCAGCGCGGCAATTACGCAGAGCTGAACGACAAGGATGTGTCGCACTTTGAGCAGCTGCTGGGCAAGAATCATGTGCTCACCGAGGATCTGGAGGGCTACAACATATGCTTCCTGAAGCGCATACGCGGTGAGTGTGCCACGCCTCCAGAGTCTAATATCCGAACGTATCACTCATTTGTATCGCCCATCGAATGGCAGGCAACAGCAAGCTGGTCCTCAAGCCGGCCAATACGGCGGAGGTGTCCGCCGTATTGCGGTATTGCAACGAGCGTCGTCTGGCCGTGGTGCCGCAGGGTGGCAACACTGGCTTGGTGGGCGGTTCGGTGCCCATTTGTGATGAGATTGTGCTGTCGCTGCAGCGCCTAAACAAGGTGCTATCCGTGGACGAGGTGACCGGCATTGCCATTGTCGAGGCCGGCTGCATTCTGGAGAACTTTGATCAGCGCGCCCGGGATGTGGGTCTCACTGTGCCACTGGATTTGGGCGCCAAGGCCAGTTGCCACATTGGCGGCAATGTGTCCACCAATGCTGGCGGCGTTCGTGTTGTGCGCTATGGCAATCTGCATGGCTCTGTGCTGGGCATCGAGGCTGTGCTGGCCAATGGTCAGGTGCTCGATCTGATGTCCAATTTCAAGAAGGACAACACCGGCTATCATATGAAGCATCTGTTCATTGGCTCCGAGGGCACCCTGGGCGTTGTTACCAAGCTGTCCATGCTCTGTCCACATGTCTCCAAGGCCGTAAATGTCGCCTTCATTGGCCTGAACTCGTTCGAGGATGTGCTCAAGACATTTGTCAGCGCCAAACGCAATCTGGGCGAAATACTCAGCTCCTGTGAGCTCATCGATGAGCTGGCGCTCAACACGGCGCTAACCCAGTTCAAGTTTCTAAAGTAAGTATGTAAATGTGCTCGACCAGTTGCCCAATCAATCATCCATTCACGCCAAGCGAACAAACTTTAAGTAGTTCGGCCCATATTGTCCGATCGCTTTGCCAGCTTCGATAATCAGTTTGACACCAGTTTCACTGTTAAATTTTGTTTTTGAAATCTCTTTGCCGTGCGTTGCTCAACGAGAAGCTACATTCCACATTTGCTGTCCACAAACCGTAAAGTTCTCGAGATACGCTGAGAAAACTAGAGGCTACTCGGTTGATTCGATAACGACGGCAAAAGTTATCGATAATTTGTGTGGTAATCGAGAATTTGATAAATGCAGCTCTTCGAATTCGTTGAGACTGATCTATATGTATATACCACTCACAAAACGAACCCCCCCCCCCCCCCCCCCCCACCTCCACTCACAGTTTAGTTAAGATCTAAAGATGGCAACATTTAACCCTTAGCTCGCCCATCTCTGGCTATCCCTTCTACATGCTGATCGAGACATCCGGCAGCAATGGCGCACATGACGAGGAGAAGATCAATCAGTTCATTAGCGAGGGCATGGAACGTGGCGAAATATTGGATGGCACTGTTACCGGGGAGCCCGGCAAGGTGCAGGAGATTTGGAAAATTCGCGAAATGGTGCCGCTGGGCCTCATCGAGAAGAGCTTCTGTTTCAAGTATGATATATCGCTGCCGCTGCGCGATTTCTATGGCATTGTGGATGTGATGCGAGAGCGATGCGGTCCACTGGCGACAGTTGTGTGCGGCTATGGCCATCTGGGCGATTCCAATCTGCATCTGAACGTGTCCTGCGAGCAGTTCAACGAGGACATTTACAAGCGTGTCGAGCCATTTGTCTACGAGTACACGTCCAAATTGAAGGGCAGCATCAGTGCCGAGCATGGCATCGGTTTTTTAAAAAAGGATTATCTGCATTATTCCAAGAATCCGGTGGCCATTGACTGGATGCGCGACATGAAGAAAATGTTTGATCCCAATGGCATACTCAATCCCTATAAAATGCTTAATTAAATCCAGCACCGCCTCATTTTTTTTTTTTTTTTTGTACTTTGTGTCTCTTATAATCATATTGTTACAAATATAAAGTGTAAAGCTTATAATAAATGTGCATTTACTTTTGGCTGTCTATTCAATTCAAGCGCATTTATCGCCTATCGATTGCTGCAGCTATCGCCTATCGATCGCTGCAGCTATCGGCTGTTGTTGCCCTAGAGGTCGGCTCAAGGTGGGTGACAAGCTTTGAGCCGCTTGACACGCACGACAATGAACCTTCCTCTTTTTTTTTAATTTTAATTTCTCTTATTCGTGCCTGCAGCCCTGCGTCTGCGTGACACGAGACGCGCCCAGCTCTAGCGCAAAGCTTTTCGGCTTTTTGGCATTTATCGGTTTCGCTTTGCGCATCGTGCGTCAGTTTCGCTTGGCTAACGCAAACGGCCAGAAGTCGGCAGCGCTGTGACAGTGACATAGGCGAAAATAAAAACGAGTTTTTCGCGTAAAATTCACAACTAATAAACATTTTTTTTTGTTTTTTTTTTGTTTTCATAAATCATTTAGTAACACAAATATGAGCGGGTAAGCAAATTTGTTAGTCGATTTTTGTATGCAACGTGTCAATTTGGTTTTTGTATATTTCATAAATGCAGCAAAGCTGATATTGCACTGATCGGCCTGGCCGTAATGGGCCAAAATCTCATACTGAACATGGACGAGAAGGGATTTGTGGTATGCGCATATAATCGCACCGTCTCCAAGGTGCAAGACTTTCTAAACAACGAGGCCAAAGGCACCAAAGTGATTGGCGCCGAGTCATTGAAGGACATGGTCGACAAACTGAAAAGGCCACGCAAAGTCATGCTGCTTGTCAAGGGTAAGTTGTCTGTCTGTCTGTATGCGTGCGTGTGTGTGTGTTTTGTTGTTGTAATATTGTGGAGTGAGTGGCCTGCAGCGATCGCGCCATTTGTCTCTCTCTCTCTCTCTCTGTGTGTGTGTGTGTGTGTGTGGAAGTCAAAGCAAAGTCATGCACACAAAAATTGCATAGCTTTTCGTTTTGTTGCGGCCTGTCGAAAAACAGCGTGAGAGCATTTGGCTGCGTGTGTGTGTGTGTGTGTGAGAGAGAGCGTGCAAATATAATTTACTATTTGTTTTTGTTTACCTGCAACGATATGCACACTATCGATTAATAGTGCTTATTCGGTTAGTTATCGTTTAAGCCCAATACGCAGCTTAATGCTGGCAAACTATTTGACTAGAAGCGGCCGAACGTTTACATTTTGCATGGTGACCGAAGCAGCATACTGTGCCTGTTAAGTTCCTTCACGCCGGTTGACCATTCCGTTACACACACGCACGCACACACACGCACTCGAAAGGCAGTGACATTCAGTATATGTAGGTCATATAGAAAAAAAAAAACAAAACACGACTCAACAGGTGCTTAGCACTTGGGTCAAGATCAATGCCCGCGATAAGATTTTGCCGTTTGCTATCAAAACTTGTTGTCATTATCTCATTAAAGCGCAGAAACTGGCGACTTTGGGCTGACCTTAAGTCAAGGTCGACTTTAATACTTTGGCAGTGCAGCTGCAACTAGAGATGGACGCGTGACAACACACTTGACTAAAAAAAAAAAAAAAAAAAACACAAAGCAAAGCTTCGACTCGCAATTCTTGTTCTTTTAAAAAAGCGTTTAAAAATATCAATAAGATTGCGACATTGAGAGAAAAAATACTAAGCTACACATATTCTAATCGCGGTTCGCAGCACTAATTGAGCCACAGCCCAACACTAGATTTGGCCTTAGTATTTAGGCGATAGTATTGGACAGCACACGCCCATCTCTGGCATTGACTTTCGAAGCAAGCAACAAACACTTGACCTTGTCTAATCACATTTTGCGTTACCTTATTTTTTATTCTCGCCAGCTGGCAGCGCTGTGGATGATTTTATAGCGCAACTGGTGCCGCTGCTGTCGCCGGGCGATGTCATCATCGATGGCGGCAACTCTGAGTATCAGGACACAACGCGCCGCTGCGATGAGCTGCAAAAGCTGGGCCTGCTCTATGTGGGCTCCGGTGTTAGCGGCGGCGAGGAAGGCGCACGGCATGGACCGTCGCTGATGCCGGGCGGTCATGCGGCCGCATGGCCACTGATCAAACCCATTTTTCAGGCCATCTGCGCGAAGGCCGACGGCGAGCCGTGCTGCGAGTGGGTGGGCGATGCTGGCGCCGGGCATTTCGTCAAAATGGTGCACAATGGCATCGAGTACGGGGACATGCAGCTGATCTGTGAGGCATATCACATTATGAAGAGTCTGGGGCTTACGGCGCCGCAAATGTCCGAAGCGTTTGGCCAATGGAATGGCGCCGAGCTGGACTCGTTTCTCATTGAAATAACAAGGGACATTTTGCAGTATAGCGACAGCGAGGGCTATCTGCTGGAGCGCATACGTGACACCGCCGGTCAAAAGGGCACCGGCAAATGGACAGCAATTGCGGCCCTGCAATACGGTGTGCCCGTCACGCTCATCGGCGAGGCGGTCTTCTCGCGCTGCCTTTCCGCGCTCAAGGATGAGCGAGTGCGCGCCAGCAGCGTGCTAAAGGGACCCGGCTGCAAGCCGTCTGTGCCGGATTTGACAAAGTTCCTCAATAGTCTCAAATATGCGCTATACTGTGCCAAGATTGTCAGCTATGCGCAGGGCTTTATGCTGATGCGTGAGGCGGCCAGCGAGAATAACTGGAGCTTAAATTATGGCGGCATTGCGTTAATGTGGCGCGGCGGCTGCATCATACGCAGCGTATTCCTGGGCAACATCAAGGATGCGTATACACGCCAGCCAAAATTGCCCAATTTGCTGCTCGACGATTTCTTCAAGCGCGCCATCGAGTGCGGTCAGGATGCATGGCGTCAGGTGGTGGCCAATGCCTTCCTCTGGGGCATACCCGTGCCGGCGCTATCGACGGCGCTCAGTTTCTATGATGGATATCGTACAGCCAAATTGCCGGCGAATCTGTTGCAGGCACAGCGTGATTATTTTGGCGCCCATACATACGAGCTGCTCGGCAAGGAGGGCCAATTCCATCATACCAACTGGACGGGCACAGGCGGCAACGTTTCGGCCAGCACCTATCAGGCATAGATGTCATATACAACATTCCATATCTACAATTTGTATGCTCTTATATCAATAGGCTGGCCTCTTAGTGTATTTCTATGCTATTCATTTCATTTTTCAATTGCTTTTTTTTTTTCGTTTTTTTGTTTCAAGTACTTTTGGGCAGTACTTAATTATACAATATGTAATTAAAGTATATGTACACGTATATAATTTCATTGTAATTAATATATTATTAAACTGGTGTTTTTGTTTTTATCTTCTACAATCTCCAGTGATTGATTTGATTTGGTTTTTTTTTGGCGGCATTTAACGTGAACATAACAAAAACAGCAAAAAGCAACATTCAAATTTAACGAGTCTTTCGAGTTTTAGGCCGCCCGCGCCGGCTATTGTCCAGGTGCCATTTGCCTTTGTGTGTGTGTGTGTGTGTGTGTGTGTATTTGTGTGTGTTTCGAGTGGATGATAGTGATGCAACTTTTTAATCATCGGATGGCCGCAGCGTCTTTGTTTGCTCGATAACCAGCTTCTCCGTTGTGTAAAGATGACCGATAATTACCTATAAGTGTTGGGGAGAGGTTGTTGAATTAAATTAAATTTGTTATCGCTTTGTTATCGTTAGCAACGCTGACGTCAAAAATGACGTGCTGCAGTGCGATAACAATTGGGCAGTTCGCCATGTAAATTGGTGTGCGTGTATGTTTGTGTGCATGTGCGCACATGTACAGCTGTTTTCCCAATTTTATGACCCGGCACACGCTCACCTGTCGACGAATCAATTCCAAACTTTGCTTGGCATTTGCCATCTGCCGATCGATTTCCTTAAAATCATTTACCATCCTATTGGCCCGAAATGTGTCGCGTATCTTGCGCAGCGCATACATTCTGTCCACAAAAAAAAAAAAACAAATGAAAAATATGCATATACATAATTGACACAATTTGCTGTTATGTTAAGCTATTTCACAATACCCACGCACCTAAAGTTGTAGGAGGGCAGCTTCTCGGACTCACGCAACAAATTCCGATATAATGTAATTGCCTGGCGACGTGTCGACATCTTTGTATATGTTGTGTGTGGACAACAAGAAAAATATACAATTTAAAATTGATTTTAATTGATAATAATCGTATTGATTATTTTTGTTGAAAAGTACAATTTAGTGATGTTAACAAATAAAAAGCAAAACAACGACTTATCGATTACTATCTGTTTAGTAAATCGAGCGTATTGCATTTGTTATATCGATATTAATGTCTCTCCGGTTTTCAGTATTTATTAAATACTAATTATACACACAGCTCAGTTATCCAAACTAAAAAGTAACCCTTGGTTACACTGTCGCCTTAAAACATCAACTTGAAATTATCGGCACAAAAGTAATATCGATATATTTGTTAGTTGCAAACAGGATCACGAGAAAAAAAGTAAGGTTGATGCGAAGTAATACTCGATAAGAGCAGCAATACCTTTGTCATTTCTGTGTCCGTGCTGTTGAAAGAAACATTTAGTCTGTGTGCTCTTGCTAATTGTTGAAACAAAAAGAAAGCCAGCATGTAAGTAAAGCCAAAATACACACCACACACGCTGTTAGCTTGCCTGCGAATAGATGTGAAATTTGCAAACGTCTCAAATGCGACAATAATGACGGCGTCTCGCAATACGTTTATCGGTGGGTGGTCTAGGGTCTGTCTGCTGACGGTGTTCAAGTGTGCACAATTCAATTCAATTTAAGATATACGCATATGTAAATATATGTATATATGTTGCGAATGTTGCCAACTACATAGCTGAAGCTATTGTTGTTCCTCCAGCCTCTGCTAGAAGGCCACTTAAGGCCGGCGTCGCACGACGTGGTACTGCTGCCGCCGCGTGTGTTGGCATGGATTCAGAATTGTGAGGGATATGCCAGCGTAAATATTTGCAGCCCTGCACGCATGTATTAAATTTAAACATAAAATTACCATTTCGTATAATTTGCCTTTTTGAAATGCCAAAAAAGAACTGCACACAAACGACGGCCATTCGCACAAATTTGTGAGGTTAAACCTGAATAAGTTGGAAAAAAAAATTTGCGTCATGTTTCAGACTGGCGCGTGTATTGGCGTTTAGGTATGTGTATGTTTGTATGTGTGTATGTGTGTGTGGCTGTGCGTGTGCGTGTGTATAAGTCGGCAATAGCCCATGCTTGTGTGCATTGGTGTGTGAGAATATACGTTAGCATTTGTTAGTTGATTGTGTTTATTAATAAGACAAATGCGAATTGGATTTGCATTGCGTTACTTCATGTGAATTAACATTGCATTGCAGTTGGCATGCTCTTTGTTTGCTTGGTTTACATTTTTTTGGCGCGCTTTAGTTGCGTCTGCTACAGTTGCAGCCATTCGCTATACATTTCGCTAGCTCGCTCGCACTCGCTGGGCTGTTGCCTCCACCGTTTGCTTGTGTGCGTGTGTGTGCGTCAGCTAAGCAACGCATTTCGACAATATCTGCAATTTATACTGGAATGACACACAATTCACTTATATATTTTAGTTTAATTTCCCAATAGCCCAAGTCAAAATGTTGTTATATACAATATGGAAATCTTCATATTGTTTATGTCTTCTATTTAAAGCTTACTTAAAGTAGTATACATTTTAGGACGTATTCATTATAATTAAGCAGTTTAAGGCATTTTGCAATGCTGCAATTTTAGGGTTGCAATTGTGACAAAAACAAAAACTGAGAGTATCATTCTACTATTGCGCTTACATAAAGCCGACAAGAACAACAATTGTATGTCAGCCTTCTCTCACGGCATGGTCGCATGCTACCTGCCTGTACTCACACACACACACATTCATACGCGCGCGCGCACACGCACGCACATACACACACACACACACACACACACACAGCGACGGCAGCTGCAGTTTTATTGCCCTGTGGCCCGCTCTCTTGCATTCGCTTCTGTCTCGCTCTCTGTTCGCTCTTAAAACGAGGCCCCGCAACTGAGAACAGCTGTTGTTGTCCTTTGGCGCGCTTTACTGCGGCCTTTGGCATTGGCCGTTCTGCTTTGACCTCTACCTTTCGTTTCTGGTGCGCCGCTTGCGGCAGCCGCATTCGCATTGCGCACGCCGCACGTCTAACATCAAACCTCGTGCCCTAAAAACACAAAAACTGCAACGATATTAATTCAAACGCATCTCCTACAGAAACCAGCAGCAGCAACTCCAGTGGGACCGTGTGCGAATTGAAATTTTGTACAGTGTTGTAGAGCACACATAAATTGAAGGAAGCACAACAAGAACAAAACAGCAGACAGGCAACATGGCTCAGGAAGTACAGGATATGCCAACATTCAAGTGCGTGCTGGTCGGCGACGGTGGCACCGGCAAAACAACTTTCGTCAAACGTCACATGACCGGCGAATTTGAAAAGAAATATGTTGCCACACTGGGCGTTGAGGTGCATCCATTGATCTTTCACACCAATCGAGGCGCCATCCGTTTCAATGTGTGGGACACAGCCGGACAGGAGAAATTTGGCGGTTTGCGCGATGGCTATTATATACAGGGACAATGTGCTGTCATTATGTTTGATGTAACATCGCGTGTCACCTACAAGAATGTGCCCAACTGGCATAGGGATTTGGTGCGCGTCTGCGAGAATATACCCATTGTCCTTTGCGGCAATAAAGTTGATATCAAGGATCGTAAGGTCAAGGCCAAAAGTATTGTGTTTCACCGAAAGAAAAACTTGCAGGTGAGTGTTAAAAAGTTTAAAAAGCGTATACCATAAAATGCACAAGCATATCAACAACATGCACAGACATGTCGCAAAACGAATGTAACAGAGATGGATGACAGATGTGAGCGAGACAGCGATAGCTCAAAACAAAACTGTGATTGACAGTGGGTCACATACAAAATATACAGTTTCTAGTATTCTCTCTCTCGCTCACTCTTAATCCACTTTGACCAAGTGAATGAAAATATTCGCGAATGATTTGATTTACAGTTTTACAGTTTATTATTTTAAAACTTCTCGTAAATAAAACGAAAGTCTTCTAGTTCCCTAGCTACGTCAGACAGAAATAATAGAATTTTGCTTTGTTTATCTTTAAATCTGTGTAATTGCCCAGTTACCGAGATATTAACTTGATCGCAAGTGCAATTCTCTGATAGTTTTTTCAACAGACCGAAAAAAAGTCTCGCAAATATATCGTATTAGTTGAATGAGTGCCTGTCTTTGGAGTATCGATAAAAAGACGCAATTAAAAGATATCGATTGTTGATGCTTTGATGCACGAGAACACGATGGGGAGAAGTTGGTTTTGAATGTAAACATTCCGTTACCTTGTACAATTTTTGCTAATCTCGATCAATTTCATATCTCTTTAATGCAGTACTACGACATCTCGGCAAAATCGAATTACAACTTTGAGAAACCATTCCTTTGGCTGGCCCGCAAACTGGTCGGCGATCCAAATCTGGAGTTCGTGGCAATGCCGGCACTGCTGCCACCGGAGGTCAAAATGGATAAAGACTGGCAGCTGCAAATTGAGCGCGACTTGCAGGAGGCGCAGGCGACCGCCTTGCCCGACGAGGATGAGGATCTATAAGCTATAGCTCTATACTGAATATAAACAATAAATGAATGAAGAAAAGCAAACAAAATAGCAGACAACAGGGTTAACAATAGCAACAGCAACAGCTACAGCAGCAGCAACAACAGCAAGCTAAGCGATAAAACAACAACATCCAGAACTGCAGCGCCGGGATAACCATAAGCAGCACTCATACACCCATACATTCACACACCCACACAGTCACACAGTCACAAGCCCTTCCCCCTACACACACATACACTCACACGCGCACACACAGAGAGACAGAGCGAGCGAGCGAGCGAGTGAGCGAGCGAGTGAGCGAGCGAGAGAGAGAGAGAGAGAGCTTAACTCTGGCCCCAAATTATTATCATATTGTGTAATTACGATTTTTCGTTTAATATATATATATATATATTTTTTTTTTTTTTTTTTTTTTTTTGTTTTTCAACTCTGCTGTCTGGTGTGGCATGACAAAATTTTGGTGGCACGCAGCAGAATTATGTTTTAACAGAAACAAAAGCCTATATAAACATAAACGAAGAAAAGAAAAAAACAAAAAAAAAAAAAGTTGGGAAACATTTGAAGCAGCAGCAACTATATTAACATGCAGAATTAATTAAGAGATTTAAGAAGAGTTGGTCAACGGCAGCCCAAGACACACAACTGCTGAACAGATATGGCTTTGAGTAATTGTGAAATATTGAGAAACTCGTAAGGCTACATTGAAACCACAACAACAACAACAACAGCAGCAACAACAAATAAAAACAAACAATTATTGCGATTAAATGGATAAATAAATAGCTAAGACAAATAAAAACGAAACCAGAAAGAACTAAAACGGTATACCAAGAAATATTGTCATTATTATTTTTAGTCATATTCTGTTTAAGCTCAACGTATATATATATATATTTAGATTGTTATTATTGTATATGCTCCAGCCAGAGGTTGGGTGAGTGAAGGAGAGCAAAAGAGATGCGTAGCCGCATCCTCAACCTCATCCTTCATACTCATCTAGGCGCATTTGACACAGCAGGCGGGAAAGACGCCCGTGTAGCGCTGCTTGTTGAGACAGGTGACCTTTTGGTCGGCGCATCTGTTTTGAATTGATCGTTGACGTCAGATAGCCAGAAATAGATAGATGGCACTGATACTCACTCCTCGACAATGGTCTTGAATGTGTCCGTGCAAATGGCGCGCTTCAGGCATTTACCCTCCTTGCCAAAGTCCACATAATCCTGACCCTTCTTCAACAGCGGCAAATACTTGAGAAAAACTGTCTCGTCCTCGGCATTGCGGTACGTGCACACGGGCTCGCTGACTGTTTAAATGAGGCAACTAACTACTTGCTGCAGCTTCCTTGGGGCCAAACAACGTCAGCAACTCACCTGCCTCATAGCTGTCCAGCATCATCAGCATCATCATCAGCAGCAGCAGCAGCAGCCCAATTGTTGCGCCCAGCCAGGTTGAGTTGTTGCGCATCTTTGTGGAATTGTTTGGATCGACTGAAGCCCCTTTGGCTCAACCAGTTAGCTATTTATACCCCCCCAAACTATGTTGTACCTACAGTTACGCGAATTTACAATTCTAATTTGCAAAAACAACGACGACAACAACAAAAAACTAATTTGTTTATTTCAGACTGTTTAGCTTGACTTTGAGATGTGCGCTACGCGAGCTGCTAGATTTTTTTTTTTTTTTGAAATCTTAGCAAAACTAAAGATTTAACATGAAATATGAAATTATCTCGCGGGATTTTAGCATAAAAATGTCTAATTCAAAAGGGTTTTTTTTATAGGTCTATATGATATAATAGATAATATATATATAATATAACACCCGTCTAGGAGTATAAGAAGAGTTTCCAGCAATAGATCAGTTCATTTATTTTCGAATATCCCCTTATATCTTGGATATGTCTGACCAGTTTTTCGATCCTGAGATCGGTTCATCTATTCTCGAATATCCCCCTATATCTTCGATATGTCTGACCAGTTTTTCGATCCTGAGATCGGTTCATCTATTCTCAAATATCTCCTTATATCTTCGATATGTCTGAACAGTTTTTCCAGAAATAGATCGATTCATATATTCTCGAATTTCCCTTATATTTTTCCCTTATATATTTATACATATTTTTGAATGTTCATTTCCGTTTTCTAAGACCCGAACGTAGCGCATTCGTAAGTTGCTGATTTATCTTTTTGTTTTTCGTTTTGAATTTCCAACACAATTCGCATTTGAATTGTTTAATTGTTCACTATTTAGCAGCAGCCCCCCCTCACCACCTCCATCCCCGACTCTACGGCTTGTACCCCTGACGCCAACAGGCTCTGATTGAGTTAATTGCATCGAAAGTTTTTTCTTAAAAGAAAAACAAGCAAACAAAAACAAACGTTTGTTGTTATTTATAAGAACCAATTGATTATCTGAGTAAACTGGCAAAATTTGATAGACCTCGCTCTTGTCACAGATGAGTTACAGATAGTTAGGTCTATGACCAAAGGAAAATTCGTAATGCTGGGTAAGTGCTCGAAATTTCAGAGAAATCGCTTCAGTCTGATAAATATGTTTATATGAATATCAGGTGCTGCAAATTTGGACCATAATTAAGCGTATTTCTAAGTAGTTTTATTCAATATACCTATCACCCGGTCGATGGGCGTGGTCTTTATTTCGATTTGCAACACTTAAGCTGTAAGACTTTGGCAAATATCGGATATTGTTCGATTTGCTCTCCGTGGGCATGACCTTACGCTTCCTTTCTTGAATAATTCTTTAAAAAATACCAAAAAATAATACTAGTCTCTTCTTTTCGGTATAAATATTCAGCATATCATGAATTCAGTTTCAGTTCAGTATATGTTAAGTATATTTCGCATATATACTGTATGGAATAATATTTTGAGGTTCGTTTTTAAAATTCGAATCGTCAAAGAAAATACCAAAAAATAATACTAGTCTCTACTTTTCGGTATAAATATTATATTATATACTGTATGGTATAATATTTTGAGGTTAGCTTTGAAAATACGTTAAAAATAGCAGCTTTTCAGCTGAAGTAACCAGAAATTCAGAAATAATAGCTATTGTCTGGCAGTTGCTTTTTATATGTTCAGGTACAATAAAAAGCGACAGCTGTTTTCGAAACATTCAGAAATTCAGCTCAAAGCAGTGTAAGATTTATTTAAAATATTTTGTATAAAAGGAATAATACGATATTTCTGACAATATGTGTATATAGAACTAAATATCATTGGACTCCGGCTCTTCACAGATCAGCTTGGGACAACAATGTGGAAAAATCAGACGCATATCGGAGCCAATTTTACAGTTCTTCGTGGGCATCAGATTGTGTCGACCGCAGCTGCAAAAAAAAAAACAAAAACAAAGAACAGTTTATGAATCAAGGCAATCGAATTTAGATTCAACCTGGCTATATCTATTTGTATATAGACTATAATCCATCTTCGACTTGACCCCAAATATATAGAGTACCAGAAATAATCTGTATACATGTATGTACGTGTCAAATACGGCGATTCTAAACTTTGTGCCTTAAACATGATCTCGATATCGATTGCGAAGCGGGGCAAGTTATCGATTATCGATTATCGATTGCAAAACTCGCGCTGTGCGGGCACAAGAAGGAGCTGCGTTCAAAATCAAACTCGGACGGATGGACTAGGCTATTGATGCTGATCTAGAATACAAATATATTTATATATATATATCCGGAGTCGGAGAGCCCCGTCACGCACCTTTAACCATCTTCAGGATATAAATATATCCATAGAGAAACTTAGCATACCAACTACATAGAATAGTAGAAGCGCAAATTTCCGTTGACTTTGAGCCAGCGACTTCTCTTTTGTTGGTCAGACGCGTGCTTTTTCTGGGTTCAAAGCTTGATGATTTTGAGCAGATGATATATATATATATAGTAGTGTGAAGGATTATCTGTTTATATGATGCGAAGGGAAGATATTTAAATAGAATACAAGCGCCGACTTACTAGCCAATCTCGAGAACAAAGTCCGGCCGGCAATAGAAGGAGTTGCAGTGGCCCGCGCGATTGATGGGCTTGTACGATTGATATTTGGGTATCGGTTGCTTCAGTTCCTCAAGGTAGCACTGACCCGGATAGTCTGGACAGAAAGACAGTTGAGGATATTAGAATGTCGCGGACAAGCTTGTCGCACTCTCACCTGGATGCACGGCATTGGCCCGATAGCCCAGGTCGGCGGCGGCGCCGGCGCAGAGCAGCAACAGCATGACGCGGACTCCGACTGCCATGCGAATGTCCATTCTCATTGCCAAAAAAAAAAAAAAAGGCAACAAAAAAACAAAAAAAAAAAAGGCTGAAATGCGCCGGGGGAATATTAAGTTTTGCGATTACACGACGAACGACAAACGTGCGACTGAGTCAATTACAATTAATTGTTGTTGCCTTTATATCAAATTAATAATAAAGCTCGCACATAAATGTGCCACAGTTTCAGCTTTTCAGATCTAGTTTGCATTAATTAAGCCCGACAAGTTGCCAGCCCTGAAAGCGAGAGTCCATTTGCGCGGGGGCGTCGGCGCGTAAACAATGCAAAAGTCATCACAGATGCTAGCTATTAACGTTACGCCCGCCGCTCGACTAGCAGATACCCTCTAGATGGTGTCTGCAAGGCGTTTCGATTGATTTGCTTGACGATTTTCTAGCTAGTTTTCTCGCCAAGCTAAATTGATGTTGCCGCACGCCCACAGCCCACAAAAACCCATATCCATTCAAGTCTAATACGAGTTGATGCATTTTATAGACATAATCGACCGGCAGATACCCTGTTTATGGCGTTTGTCAGGCCTTTCGATTCATCTGTTTGGCGATTTTCTAGCTAGTTTTCTTCTTCAAGCTAAATTTATGATGCTGAAAAAGGGCACACTGTCGCGTATATATATCCATTCAAGTTTATGGAAATTATATACCTAAAGAAAAGGCTAAAATGTTGCTCTAACCATAAAAAAAAAACTCTGCTTTTAAAGCTAAACCGCATTATAATAAGGCTAGAAATGGCCAAACTGGCATTTGCCACGCCCACCGCTGTGTTTGCTGAGTTTGGCTTTAAAAAAGCTAAAGTGGCAACACTGTCGCTGACCCAGTTAACAAAAGTCTGGCAAGGTCGCAAAATCTTATCAGCTTTTTGTACATATATATTTATTTTTTATAAGTATATTTAATAAATTTAATCAGTTTTCGGGCAAGTCAATTTGATCGGGACTTAGGGCACAAATGCGCATTACGATCTCGACTGCATTTGGCCTTGTGGCTTGAGTTCGCATCAAAAACTTGACATGCATTTAAGAGGAAATGCTTAAATAATACTCTCGCGACAATAGAGAGTCGAATGTATTTAAGAGACTTTGCTACGGCTTAAGAAATAATCCAAAATCAAAAATAGTTAAAGTTAAACAAACTGGGGCTACCCGACCTTGTCCGTGGCAAGTTTTCTGCTTTAAATGTTAGATATTACTTGTCAATCAGCTAGTCAATCAATCAGTCAGTCATTCAGTCGGTCAATCAGTCAGTCAATCAGTGAGTCAGTCAGTCATTCAATCAGTCATTCAGTTAATCAGTGAGTCAGTCAATCGGTGAGTCAGTCAGACATTCAATCAGTCATTCAGCCAGTCATTTAGTCGGTCAATCAGTAACTCAGTCAGCCAGTTAATCAGTCAGTCATTCAGTCAATCAGTGACTCAGTCAGCTAATCACTCATTCAGGCAGTCATTTAGCCAGTCATTCAGTCGGTCAATCAGTCAGTAACTCAGTCAGTCATTCAATCAATCAGTCAGACAATCAGTCGGATAATCAGTCATTCAGTTAATTAGTCGGTCAGTCAATCAGCCAGTCAGTCATTAAGTCAATCAGTGAGTCAGTCAGTCAATCAGTCAGTCAATCAGTGAGTCAGTAACTGTCAGTATATCAGTCAGTCATTTAGTCAATCAGAGAATTAGTCAGTCAATCAGTGAGTCAGTTAGTCAGTCAGTCAATCACTGAGTCAGTTAGTCAATCAGTCCCCTAGACAGTCAACAATTTTCTAAATTGATTATTTAAGATCAATTTTACGTACTTTTTCAGCTTGTCTAAATGGCTTCTCTCCCTCTCTCTCTCTCTCTCTCTCTCTCTCTCACTCTCACTCTCTCTCTCTCTCTCTCTCTCTCTCTCTCTCTCTCTCTCTCTCTTGCTCTCTCTTATAGAGCTTATAGCGAAATTATATGTATATAAGGCAAGAAATTGCTTAGCCTTCAAAAGAAATACAAAAACAATGGGAAAGCAGCTCGTAATAACAGGTCGTGAGATAAAAAAAAAGAGTGCTTAGAAGTATTGTATGATTAATAGCTATTTATCACCTGAACAGTATACAAAATCGAATATATTATATATATTACGACAGCGTGAGTATGTACATAATATTTATTTGTTAAATTGATTAACAAAAATTATTGAACCAAGCCCGAACTGAGCGAAAGTTCTATACCCTACAAATCGAATAGATAGCTATATCAAATATATACAAATAATATTATTGAGTAGAGAAATTCGAATTGTCAATTATAATAAAGATGATAAAATTTGGTATAGATATTATAATTATTATAAAAGCAAATGCGAACAGGAAGAAATGTTGCCAATATATATTTAAACGTACTATTGGCTATAATGGCTCATTGAAACTGGTTCGGTTTACGGCTGGAACCAGTGTAAATGTTAATTTGTGATATTGGCTCGCGCCTTGGTTCATGGCGTTCACTTTGACAGCAAATAAACAATATATTCATTTATAAAAAAAAAAAATAAGAGAGAATCAAATAATTTTTTCAAATATGTTTCGGTACGGAACTAGATTCAGTTCACAGACGGAACAAAGCTTGGAACTACAGCTCCAGCTTGAACTTTGATAGTTCAAAAACGCAAAAAAAAGTAGCTAAACAAACGCGGCAGATTAACGAACGTGCCGCGCTGAGAGTCTACTCTACATACATATATATATATATATATATATGTATGTGCGATCGCGGAACAGACAAAAAATCGGAGAACAAGAGACAAATGAAATTTGAAGAGCTGATAGCTTAGTTCTCAGTGTCACATCCGTTGCCATATAAAAAGCCGAATTCCCAGCACTCGAGCAGCTCAAACGTAGAACGAAAAAAACTCGCGATGCACAAACGGAAGCTGGCAATTTGTTGGTCTCTGAACGGATTGCTCCTGTTGCTGCTGGCAGCTCCATTGCACGGCTTTAGCACTCAGTATCGCGGCAATACGCAGCATCCCAGTAAGCACACACACACACACACACACACACATATATATATATGTATATATAGATAATCTAGAACCAAATCACGTCTGTATCGAAGCACAGCCCTAGCGGAGCATTGCTACTATGCGGAACTGGAGCTGGCCGTGCCGCGCAATGGCACCGTCTTTCCGTTGGATCGTCTCGATTTTTGTGCCCAGGTGTATTGCCGTGAGGACTATGTGCTCATGATCAAGCAGTGAGTGTTATGCCAACAACAACAAAACCCCATCCATATATATATATATAGATATATCTGACGAACGTTATGTCTAACACTAGCTGCGATCGCATGCAACTGGCCGATGGATGTCATTTTACGCCCAACGACTATACAAAACCGTATCCGGATTGCTGTCCCACGCGTATTTGTTCCGGCGCTTGATTCCCCCAACTTTTGACAAGAGCATCCAGACACGGGCCACGCTATATATATATATATATATATATATATTTTCAGTTTTCCTGGCACTTACAATAACGATTTGCATATTTAACCGGAGGATAAATAATTAACTGGAAAATATTAGAGGATGAAATACAATTCTTCCTTAAAACTCGATTCTAGACTAAAAATAAAAGTGAGAAGGATATATACTGAAAATATACTAAGAAAAAATGGTATTTTTTTTCTAAAACGATTTCTATGAAAATGTCAGGAGGATATTCCCTAAAAAAAAAATAAACTGAGGATAAAAGTATTTGATTTTAATAATAATAAAAGAAACACGTAAATTTTAGTACTATGTAGATTCCATTGTCGAAATATATATTCTCTGATCTTAAGTTCCGATGGAAAAAAAGTCGAATTATCAGCTAAGTTAGTTCAGGGTTTATAATTCTTAGCTCAACGAAAAAAAAGTGATTGTTTTTAAAAAATTGTTTGATTAGAAGAAAAAAAAATGATTGTACATTCTGATAATGTATATTAACGTAACGTATACACAAAATGGAATTAAAATTAAATCAAATTGAATATGAATATCGGGAATTTAGGTATTTGGACTGAAATATAAAATGGCATCAACAGGTGCTAACCGTATAAAAGCGATTCGTTACAGTTTCGGTTTCGGTTTCGGTTTCAGGTCCAATTCGAGTCACAATCGCGCTGATACACCCGGAGATAGTGGGCGACCCCCGGGGAAAATATCAGTTAGCCTGTGTGAAAAGGTCAGCTTGAACTAACGAATCAATGGAAAAATACCAAAAGCCAATATAATTAGACGAACCTTAAGGCCGAGCACATCAGTTCAGTTTCAGAATTTCGCTTTGCAAGATCTACGCTAAAACAATCTGTTCGGATTATAATGCAGCCGGTAACATTTGTGCTTTGTATACTGGTGCTGGGCGCCCATATGCTGTTGGTTCTGAGCGGTAAGTCAGGGGCTCTAGCTCGACTTAACTGTACGTATATATATATATATATATATCGATTGATTAGATTGTGAGGTGGGCGGCCAGAGCTTGAAGGTGGGTCAGACGTATAAGCCACCGGATCGTTGCATTGAGCACACCTGCCAGCCTAACGGCTCCATAAAGGGCAAGACGTAAGTGATATTTAAAACAGATAATATCATTGTTATGATGATAATAATAATTACCGTTATTAGCTGCCCCCATGTGGCCACACTGAAGCCGTGCAAACTGGTCGAGAATGTCAATGAACCCTTCCCCAAATGCTGTCCATATTACGATTGTGACAATAATCTCAAGCTATAGATCAACTGTCGACTTGAAATTCATAAAAAAAATATATATATACATATATATATATGCATGATCCTTGCTGTTGGCTTTGTGCACAGTGCTGCCAGATATGTTTTGTTTGGTCTTAAAAATACGCACAGTGTGGCAGCATGTTTAGAATACATTTTGCTTTGTGTAGTATTTTTTTTTGGGATTTTTTTTTTTTTTTTGTTTGAATTTGTAACGGGCATCGATTTAGCTGTCAGTTGTATTTAAAAAATGTTGAAAGCATTCATTTAAAATTTTTAACCGTGCTGTAAACCTAAAACAAAAATTTCGATTTTAAAACAAAGAATTTGCATATAAATTTTTTCTTTTTTTTTACGAAAACTATTAAAAACAAAAAAAAACAACAACAAAAATAAAACAGAGAAAAACGAAAATAACAGCTCAAAAGTATTTGTGAAGAAATGTGTTTTGCGAGTGCTCATTAAAAGGTAAATGCAAATACTCAATTGTTTTGTTAATTGCTTTATAAAAACCAAAATATGTCTTTATTCCAATTTCGGTTCGGTATACACGCTTGAACTTAGCCATATGCTCGCATATATATGTATATAGATATATATATATATATATGTATATATATCTGTAGGAAGTTAGATTAAAAGGAAGGTCGCTTAATTATTTGGCTTAACTAACCTCGTTTATAACAAATGCATATACATATATATATATATATATATATATACATATATATATATATATATATATATACATATATAGGTCTGTATATATGTATTGTATAGTTATCTAAAATAACTGCTCAATTTGCCCTGACATATAGAGTGTATATAGCATGCACAGTGAGTGTTTGGAAGCCGTGTCCTACTTAAAGCTGTACAACATCAACGTTTGGAACACACACAAAAAATACGCAGGTGCAACTTAGCCTAGACTTATCCATAAGCACTTATGTATATACATACACATATATGTTTGTATATATATATATATATATATATATTGTTTACTTCTATAAAATCTGAAGCTGTCTCTGGCTCGCTTCATATTTGTATACATACTCGTATGCATTATATATAATATATATGCATATTATATATAACTTGTATAACCTGAGCTAGTCTAAACATTTTTTAACTATGGTCCGGCGGCAACGATTTGCCAGTTTTGTAGAGTATTGGGAAAACAATAAAAAGAAATATCAAAATAATCAATCAACAGAAAATAAATAGAAACAGAAGCTCATACAATTTGCTATTGTTTAATAATGAAATATGATATATTAAAATAAGGTGCTTAAATAATAAATGAAAGCACATTTTGTTAATTCTAACGAGTGCCTTATGTAACTAATTTAGCTCAACACTCGTTACTTTCTACTCGTTACTCGTTACAGGCATAGTGAAAGCTATAGCATCTGTGTACGCCAATGATATACATATATATACGAGTTTTATGCACATTTTCTCATGCCTTCAGAATACTGTGTAGCTATAGGCCCAGACATCCAGTGATCTATTCAAATCAGATCAATGTACAAGCATATATATATAGTATATATATATATATGTTTAGACAGGCAGACAGTATTCGATTGCATGGAAAATGTGGCATATAGTATGTAGGAACAGATCTCAAGAATTATCAATTTATAAAAGTTTTTGCCTAGTTCTTGAAATTGTGTTGTTTGTTGGAGGGGGAGGGGGGAGGGGGGGTGTAAAAAATATACCGTTACGAAATTGCTTTGAATAATTGGCTTTCATTGCCACTAGTCTGGTCACACTTAAATGCTAGATTATTTTTCACCATGCCCAATGTGAAGTGCTTGTGTTTATGTAGTTTAGTGTATTTTCTGGTGCAAAACTTAATCCGGTGGCGGCACGCTGCCGCACTCCTCCTCCTCTCATTGACGCGCCGCACGCTCCGTTTCCATGAGGCACTCGCGCACCAGTATCCGTGCATGGACAATGCCGCGCTTCAAGCGTTCCGTGGAGCTGCGCGAGCCCGTATATGTGGGTCTTATATCACGGCCCATTTCCTCAATAACCGCCAGCAGCTGGGCATATTTGCTCAGCCCATTGCCACCGACCATGCTGCCCGCTGTCGGCAGATTGGCAGTGGAGGTCAGCGGCGTTGTTATATTCGCCGATGTCTGTGTGGTAACAACCACCGGCGAGGTCGATGGCGGCGGATATTTCAGCTGTGATTGTGTGAGATTCAAGCCCAGATTAATTGTGCTGCTGCTGCTGCTGACGGCATTGGCATTGCTGTTGCTATTGCTATTGCTATTGATGTTGCTGTTGCCGCTGTTGGCCGAGTTCGAGAGGTTGCGTCCATTGCTGGCGGCTGCAATGTTGGCCAGCGATAGTGCTGCTGCGGCCGCTGCTGCGGCCGATGAGGCTGACGGTGTGGCAGTTGTGTTCGATTGTTTTTGCAACAGCGCCAGCTGTGCCTGCAGAAATTGTGGCGAATATTGCAGTGCGGCAACGGCAGCTGCTGCTGCTGCTGCTGTCGCTGCGGCGCTGCTTTGTGCATTGTTGCGATCACGTTTGCTGCCGCTGCCGACGCCGCCGCCGCCGCCGCTGCTGCTGCTGGTCGCATAATCTGTGGCGGTCATGTTATTGTTGCTGCCAGCGCTGCTGGCGCCGCCGCTGGCGCCGCTGCGTGAATGATGTATAGCAGATATTTGGATTTGGGGCTGTTGTTCGCGCTGTTCGCGCTGCTGCTGATAGTTGTAAAAGTTTTGTACTTGCGAGCGTGGTATTGGTGTCACTGTGACGTCACTTAACTTCGATTCGACAGCCTGTATGTCCATGATGTCCATTCTGCTGCTGTAAATTTTGAAATGTCAGTGTATATGAATCTATTGGGTTTTTGAATGACATTTACCGAAGTGCGGCAGGTACTCACCGTATTCAGTTGGCAAGCTGCAAGTGTTTTATATCGTGCAGAATTTTTGCGTTTTTCGTTGTAATAATTTACACTTTCTACGCACAAACAAATGTATTGCAACCACCACAAACAAACACGTACACAGGGTTAGTGTTTTGTAATATCGGTGTATCGATATTTACTCGTGAATGCACTTGTCACTAAACTAAAAATACCAAAACATACTAGATGGCGATTATAAGCAGCTGTTGCTCTTTAAGTTGATTGCATTGACTTGCATCGGAAAAAATCTAGTTTATTATTTAAATTAATGCTTAGAGTGCGTGAATAAATTTCTTACAAATAATTACAACTTTTGAGCTGCACAAATTTTATATATATTTAATTCTAACGGACAACAGTGTCTGTCGACGCACCAGTGCTGTAAAATACACATGATGACTGGCTGGCACTAAGAAGAAAAAAAAAAAAAAACAATGGCGAAGCAAACTCTGAACTAAAAATCTGTTGTTGACATCTGGTCACTTTATAAATTTATTTCGAACACACTCTTGTGATATCTAGTTGTGATTAATTCCAAAAATATAAAAAAATCCTTTTAGTAATTTTATGGATTGTGCTATTAAATAGTTTGAAGAAGAAACAGCGCGTGTGTTCAAATAAGCGAGTGTGTCGAGGTGAGCGTAAATTACACGTTGTGTTGCCTGCAACGTTAGACGCTGCCGCCGCGGCTTCAGCACCATAGAAGTTTGCAAATTTCCAATTACATTTCCGCGTATGAAAGAAATGCGTCTGCTGTGTGTATGTGTGCATGTGTGCATGTGCATATAAGCCCTGAAGGCCTGCCTTGCCTGCAAAGCCAATATCTTTGGCTGCGTTTGCATGTGTGTGAGTGTGAGTGCGAGTGTTTTATATGTGGGAGCCGCAGCCGTCAGCTACTGCATGACGTAAAGGTGCTGCTGTTACTGCTGTGGCATACGTATGCACTAGCATGTGTGTGTATAATTAACAACGTAAAGCTGCTGGCATTGATTAGCGGCTGTTTTGAGTGTTTTTGGTACTTTTACACGCGCCATATATGTATGCATATATGCACATGCATATGCATGTGTGTGTGCCTGTGCATGTTACATGCATATGTATGTGATGCGTGTGAGCTTGTGTCACTGTCGCTATGTGCCGCATACGCGAACAGTGTTGCACAATGCCGCTTAAAATGCATGCAAAAATACAAAACGGCGCACAAATCACAATTGGTCAAAGCCTAGCGGCGCGTCGCTCAACAACATATGTACATATGTTTGATTTTTTGTTGTTGTTGTTGTTATCGATAGGAAAGTGACAGTTGAGCATTTGAATTTTGTGTGAAAACACACACACACGCACACACAGAGGCGCGCTGAACGACGCCGTTTTTTTTTTTTTTTTTTGCGACCTCGACATAGAAGAAGCCAAAACCAAAGCAGTCGTCGTCATTCCGTAGCAGCAGCAGCAGCAGCAGGCGGTAAACAGCAGTTGGTGAACGCAGCCATTTTAATGTATCGCCATCTCGCTCTAGCATTTCGAACGTTGTTATTTGATTTTTCGTTTATTGTTGTTATTGTTGTTGGATACCAAAAACAAAAAAGAAGCAGGCAGCAAAATTGTTTGATGTGAGTAAGCGCTGACTGCACTGTCAGTCGAACTACAGCCAGCCAACTTGACGATTTGCCTCATTTACAGACTTATTGTACGAGCGTAGACAGACGACGGGGGAAAAGAAAAAAATAGGAAATTTATATTAATTCATTTTTATTATATTTCGTATGATCTAGTTTGTGAACGAAAGCGGTAACTAGATTATGGCATGGCAATACGTATATATGTATATATAAATGCATATAAGTTTATATATATAAATCACACATACATAAATATTATATAGCTAAATAAATATATAAATATATATATATATATATAGACACCAGGCATACATACCAAACGGCATAATACGGGATCAGGATCTGGGTCTGGTACTGGAACTGGAACTGGTTCACCAGCATCAATAATAAGAACAAGAAGAAGAGGAACAACAACAACATCATCGCGCACACCATCTTAAACCAAGCAAGGACTTGTGCATAGCCTGGGCAAGTATTGAATACAATAATGGATATAATAAACATTGGACAGAGCGTTAAAATCAAACGCACCGATGGACGCATCCATGGCGCTGTTGTATCCAAATTGAATCCATCGGCACGCTGCATCACCGTTGAATGGTATGAGCGCGGCGAGACCAAAGGCAAGGAGGTCGAACTGGAGGCCATACTCTCGCTCAATCCGGAGCTGGCAATGTCCGATGCCAACGAAATGCAGCACACAGCACCCGAACCGAAGAAACAGGCAACGGCGCCCATCAATTTATCGCGCAATCCCACACAGTCTGCCATTGGCGGTGGCGCTGGCAGCAGCAGCGGCGGCGGTGGTGGTAGCTCAACCGCACGAATGACCATGACCGGCACACAGCTGAACAAGATCAGCGAGACGAACAGTCGCGATTTGCCGCCACAGTTGGGCAACAGCCAGAGCGTTGGCAATATGACAACCGCGAATAGCAGCAGCATCCAGTCAACTGGCGTTGGCGCCACAGCCAGCGGCATGATGCGGCCCCGGTATGCACATGGCCAGGTCAACAGCAATGCACAGTCGCGCATCGCCTCGGCGGTGCCCAGCAACAGCAACAACATTAACAACGAACGTGGCGCTGCCAATTCGACAGCAACAGGAGCAGCTGCAGCAGCAGCAGCAGCAGCGGCAGCCGCAACAAACAATTCAAATAATTCAACAACAACAACAACAGCTGCAAATGCTGCCGGAGCACGTCGTTCGCATGCCCTGAAGGAGGTGGAACGTCTCAAGGAGAATCGCGAGAAGCGCCGTGCGCGTCAGGCTGAAATCAAGGAGGAGAAGGTCGCATTGATGAACCAGGATCCAGGCAATCCAAATTGGGAGACAGCGCAAATGATACGCGAATATCAGAATACCCTCGAATTTGTGCCGCTGCTCGATGGGCAAGTGGTCGATGATCATCGGATAACCGTGTGTGTGCGCAAGCGTCCGCTTAGTCGCAAGGAATTGAATCGCAAGGAGATCGATGTCATATCTGTGCCGCGCAAGGATATGCTCATGGTCCACGAACCGCGCAACAAGGTCGATCTAACCAAATTCCTTGAAAATCACAAATTTCGCTTCGACTATGCATTCAACGATACATGCGACAATGCCATGGTATACAAGTGAGTATCTGCCCATCTACATATATACACACATATCTATATATATGCTGGACATATATAACAGAATCCCGATATAGTCGCCCGCGCCCATCTGTCTGTATGTGAGGTGCAGCTAGGATCCTGGGGCTTCGCTTACCTTATGCGAAGTACCAACTAGATTTCTAGTGTTGTGAAGTATCTTTTTAATACGGTTTTTTTTTTTTTTGGTATTTTTTATATGCAACTATTCGAAAACTGGAGAATCTGTTGAAAGAATCTTTGCTATTGGCCCAACTTTCTTTTTTACCATTGCACAGGGTGGTAAATGTGCATATGTATAAGTCGTACACAGAAACCCGGCTGATCTTGTCCAAGTACCACACCCCCCCTCCCCCCGGATCGTATCGCATATTAAGCTCAATCAGGAACTATTAAACCAAAGCAAGATTTCATTGGAACACACTTCTTTGCAGGCATATTTTCAACTTAAATTTAACTCGTTTTTCAATTACGAGAGAATTCATTTTGTAATCAACCCATATGGAGCAGCACTATATGCTATATAGAGCGCCGATCTGAGAACAGATTTCTGGCCAAGCGTTGAATATTAATTTGCGACATGTGCGATCTCTGGCTTCATTCTCTGATGCTGTCCTTGTCTGGCAGCCAGCGATCGATTTGAACAGCTGTGCGCGCGCCTTGTTGTTGTTGTTGTTGTTCCTCCTATTCTTCTTCTTCTTCTTGTGTTTTTGTTGCGTTGGCGACACACGAAATGCGCACAAGTTCAGCTCAATAGCAACTGACTCACACACACACACACACACACACACACATGCACAGGCGTGCAAGCGAACACACACACACACATGCACAGGCGTGCAAGCGAACACACACACACACATGCTTAGAGGCGCGCAAACTCAAAACGTTCGCTCCCGAAATAGCCAAGTTGTTCCGTTCTTCTTCTTCTTCTTCTACTTCGTCGACTTGTTGTTGTTGCCGTATGACTAAACGCAGAAAGTTGTTCCATCTGTTTGTCCGTCCGTTTGTCCGTTTGTCTGCTCGTTCGTTTCGTTTCGTTTCGTTTGCGTTCGCCTCAATGAACTTGGTCCGCGTCTCAGCTTTGATGTAAAGCAAAACTTCAATATATACATATACTATATATATATATATATATATATACATGCATACTACGTACAGGAATTAAAGGGTATATATTGGCCGTTGCCTTTTGTTTGACATCAGCTTACAGCATTTATTAAAAGCTCTCGATCGATCAGCATTGCGACCACGCCCATTTCTATAACTTCTGCTAATCGGCTATCAAAAAAAACTTCTTGCTGTGAACAGAGTATGGCGCAGTCGTTGCTCTCTTATTAGTTTAAATTTTCACATTTCAAAAAGTAACCGTCGCAGCATTTGACTCAAAAGTGAATGAATCTGTTTGTTCTTTCTCTCTTCCCATTTCTCCCTCTCTCTCGCTCCCTCTCGGATTCAACGCGCTTCTGCCTGTTCTCGTTCGCGTTTGCGCCTTGCTGCGTGCCCTCCCCCTTTTTGTGGCCCACATTTCTAATGCCGCTTCCTTCCGGCTTTTGCGCATGAGTCAATGGCATTAGCAACTGCTGCGTCACGTACCTAAATAACGGTGAAATTTAATCATCCGATTTGATAAGCAAAGTCTGTGTGTGAGTGTGTGCGAATATTTATTTCTCAATAATAGCCACAAACCGCACAAAAATATATTTGTATGAATAGCCTTATATACGCTATATATGATATTGATATTGATATTGATTAGCAGCAAATGTTGATTTTTCCATAAATAAAATATATTTAGTTCGTATATAGGAGAGGATTTTTTACTCTTGCCTATCTTTTCGTAAGAGTTTTTCAGATATGTGAGAA